CACAAAATTTCAGAAGAAAATGGGCAGACAGGGCTGTGCAACAGGGAGAAGCACATGGGTTGACTTTTCAGGTGCAGGAGCAAGTTTTGAATTACCATATTTACTTGAATACAAGATGACATCGAATGTACATTGACCCCCGATTAATTGGAGTCTACTCACAGAAAATGTATAAGTTTATTACAATTTTTCATGTATGGAATCCAGTTATTGGTGGATCATCTTCAATTTGTCCCCCCTTCCCACTTGCCTCCCATTGTGCCTACTCCCCCCTGTGGTCTCAGGTTGCCCCAATTCCCCCTTCCACTGTTTTCCCCTTCCCCATGTCTCTTCTGCCACCCAGAGTCTCAGGTTCCTGCTCCGCTTCCTCCCATCTCCTCTCCCTTCCCTCAAAGTCTCTCCCCCCTGCCTGCTCCCAACCCCCGCCTGCCATTACCTTTGCTCTGTGCCGGCAGGCTCCGTCACTGCTGCGGTCCGGGGCATGGGGCAAGAGACACAGAGCATGGCTGCAGCCCACCTTGTGGCAGCAGCATGGATCTGGCACTTTTGTTCCACAGCAGCAATGGACTGGGCTGCCTTGTGCTTGATTGTAAGGCGAGGGGCTCCTCCATCCCATGTTAAATCTTCTCTTCAAATTGAGTAAATATGGTAATATGCAGAGTTAATTGGATTGGTAGCCAAAATGACTTCAAAATAGAACTCTGTATTCTGTATGTCCATGTTGGGGGCAATTTCTTAGAGACCACACTGAAATTAAAGTATTGAGAGAATCTGAGCCTGCTCATCGCTCAGAATTTTGTGTATAGAGGCTAAAACCAATGGCTAGTCGGTAGAGGAACTTACCTGTGGAAATGAAGAGGGACACCATAGGAAGAGGTAAAAAAGGATGGCATGAGCCTTCCGAATAAGGCTGTGATTACCTCCAGTGAAAAAATGAGATGGAATAAAATGACTGACATTGGTATGTGTGGGATAGAAGGGACTTTGGGATAACAAATCAGAGAGGTAATTTATTTAGTCAGAATTAGATTTCTACCCACAGTTTGCCAGGTAGAATTAGATTACTACCCACAGCTTGCCAGGTTTTTAGTTAACTAAAAACGCATTTTTTAATGGAAAAAAAGTCATTTGGACTTGCCGTGTTTCTAACTTTGGAATGATTTCATAAATGATTTTTTTTTGTGAAAGCATGTTCTGTCTAGTGGTGGCAGGGGCCTCTATTATCTGTGTTACAGATCCAAACAATAAAACAGCATGACTTTTCCCCCTTTTTTAGATCAGCTGCCTGTGACATGGTACGGGGTATTATATAAGTGTCTAAAAAGTGCAGATAATCAGTTCCTGTTTTCAGAAAAGAATAGTCAGGCTATTGTGCGAGAGCCACACTGTACAATTCCTCCAGACTGATGAAAAGACAGAAAATTCAAGCTGTTGCTGTGTTAGCATTAGACAATGGAACTTAGCTGAAGACTTGACTTGTTCTTGTTAATAAAAATCATTTAGAACCGAATTCAGCCAGCCAAAAAGTGGAGTAGATTTGCACTAAAGAAGGGGGCTAAAATACTTCTTCCTCTTAAATCGATGAGAAAGAACTCCTAGTGGGAATTCTTAAGATCAGGAATTCACCAGTAGTTTGAGGACTGGAAACTGGAGATTTTTTTGTCACCTGGTAGTATTATGCTGCATCTAAACCACTTCTGTTTCAGGGTTAACATTAATATTAGACACTAGCAAACAGATTTTGTCCACCTTCACCTAGAATAAGGTAATGCAACTTTGTGGGGACCGACATTTCACAGGGGGATAATAAGGAGCTTTTAACGATGGTAGTAGCAATAGTCTGCTCCTGTGTGTGTGTGTGTGTGTGTGTGCGCGTATTAAGCATGGTCTTTGGATACCTGACAACTTGCCACTGTGGTTTTCAGCTGTGTGAGATAGGGGACTTCTTTTGTAAATGGCCAAAGAAGCCCCTTCCTCCAATTAGTTATTTATTGGATTTGAGGCTGGAACCAAAGCAGTGCTGCTCTGCAGGGGGGGTTCAATCAGGTGGAAGTGGGGAGCTGGTTCTTTGTTGCGTGTGGTACAGTCTTCAAGGGAATTTCTTCACTTTGGTGTGGAGTGGAAAGATAAGATTTACTACTCTACAGTTTTTCAGAGATGCATTTGTAAACATGGGCTGGATCCAGATGTGCAGGCATGTGTGGTTTGTGGTGCTGCAAACCTCTTTGCAGTACCTAAAACTGCATGAGTTGCACATTAATAAGTGCTTGGTGCTGCTAATTTGCAGCGCTGGGGCAAAATTTGTTACCGGATTTCCTGGTAGCAAAAGAGTCCCCCAAAACCTGGAAAAAAGTGGTGCAAACCCTGCCAAAGTGGTGAGCACCAGGACAAATGCAGAGACAGGGGAGCAGGCTGCCCAGGGCTGCCTGCTCTCCCATCTCTGCGCTCTGTGCAGACCCTGTGCTGAGGCACCCTGCACCCCAGCTAGCCACTCCCTGGTTGACTGGGGCACAGGGTGCCTCAGGACAAGGGGAGCAGGCAGCCCAGGGCTGCCTTCTCTCCCATCTCCATGTGCCACTCCCAAGCTGGCCGAGGCATGGTGCCACAGTGCAAGGGATGGTTAGCTGCTGCTGAGGCACCCTGTGCCCCAGCCAGCACCCCCTGAAGCACGTGGAGCAGCAGGACGTGTCCTGCTGCAAAGCACATGGGGAGGGGCGTGCACTGGGGCGCAAGGTAGCAGCACAAATTTGTGCCACTACTGTTTGTGTTGCTGTAAAGGCATGCCCCTGCTTGTGTGGACCTGGCCATGGAGGCTACTCCAGCCATTGGGTTGGCATGGTGATTTCTCAACAGTCTTGGGAAAGAAAATTTTTCACCTCCAATTGTTGCCCCTAGGATTCCTTTTACCAAGGATTGACATGGCCCCTCGTCCGATTTGGTATCAAGTGAACTTTTAATACTAACCCCTAGGCTTATTACAAGTATTCTTCCTTGCAATACGACCTAGCAAGCAGTTCCTTCAGGCGTTACAGCAGCAACCTTTGGTGGTACCACCCTCAGATCCTCTGCTGGGCGTGTGGGATGTTAGTTTCTGGATTCCTCGTTGTCCAAACAAGAAGTCCAAGGCTGCTCCTGTCTCCCCAGGGTGGCAACACAGAACACACACATGTTCCTTTTTTGTCCATCACTTCTGTAATTTATCTTATCCCAAATTGTCCAATCCTCTGGTTCTGTGCCAAGCAGTCCTTATATGGTGCATCAATCCCCTGGCACTGTGCCAGCCACATTTCTTATAGGGAAACTGCTGTCACTTGCTTGCCCAGTGCCCAATCACAACACTCGCATCTCCCAGTGCCACAGAAGGTGCTCTGTTCAATTTTGTTGCTTAGCTCTGGGAAGTCCTGGACTATAGCTAAAAGCCTTGGCATAACTCAGTTTGCCTGGTACAGGCTGGCGTGGTGATTTCTGCACAATTTTAGGCAAGAACATTTTTCAGCCTCCTCCCAGAGATAATTCACACACAGGACCTTCGTTGTGAATATTAAGATTTAGGCCTATAGTATTGTGTTGTAGCCAAAAGTTCAGTGGTGGTCATTTATTTATTTATTGATTTTACTTAATTCTTCCAGCAATGGTAAGCACTTATAACTGATCCAGTGGCTGAATATTACTTCCCTTTTTTTCTTCTCCTGCAAAATGAATGTAGTATCAAATAGGGTTGTTTCTAAATTGGCAGAAACAGAAGTCAAGACTTGGAAGCATTTGTTTCCATCATTAAGTCCAACTTATACATAAAGTGGAACGTTTCAGGAAAAGTTCCAGATTGGAGAGGGCTCCTTATTTTTCTGGTTAGATATTGCTTTTGGAGTCCATCTCTAAGGCTGCACTCTGAGGGTTTGCCCTGAATGTATGCTTCTACTCTCATAAAAGAGAGCGAGGATGGTCTTGGATCCCATGAATAAAATGCTGACATCAGTTTATTTTTAAATTAAAGGTAAAAGAAAATCTCAGCTTCAGTTTTTCTAGATCAGACTTGCATTTTGTAATAGAACTAAAGGGAAAAATCTGACTTTGCTGTCACATTTTTTCTTTTCAGTGCTTTTAGGCTTGGCTGTGTTTAGGGATTTAAAGTTAAGGAGTCTGTCCTCTTTTTCTTTCTGCACACAGATAAAAGTACTTTCGGCAGGGGTTGTTTAAAAGTAGGAACCTTGGAGTTCAGTGACTAGGGGAGTCCCAGATCAGACTTGAGAAAGGAACTATCATGATGGGCTCCTGGGAGAAGAGGACAGAGAAAGAACTGCAATAATGATGAACAACGAATCCTCTAGTGGGAGTGCAGTGTAAGCAAGCAGTCTGGGATGGTGTCCAATCTGATATTAGCCAAGCCTTCATTTTTTTCACTGGGAGTTATTTACCCTTGCAAATTCAAGTTTGTATATCTCCACATTTGATTTCTAGGGACAGCCGGGACAGGAAGCTAATAAGGCACTCGCATTGTGAAATTAACACAAAGCTGTGTACCTGGGTGTCCAAAAAAACTGCAATTAAAAAAATCATACTTATTGGAGACCTGGCTCAAAGCCATTGCAATTTTTCCTCCTATAATTAAAGGAAAATACTGTGGTGTTTTAGGTGCCATTTTGTGTTAAATGTAAATGCATTTTAATGATAATCATGGAATATGTGCATTCTAATTTTATAATAGTTAGAAAAGCTATTTCTGTTAACTGTCCTTTGCTAGATTTTTTCCCTCATCCCAGGAATAATATATTTATCTCTGCTTCAAAGAGGAACATGCATCCTTCTTTACAGCAATGCCCTTCACACTGATGACATTAAAGATGGATTGTGTTGATTTCTGAATGAGACTCAGCCACTTTTTTTCTTGGTTTTTTTGTTGTTGTTTGAGCACTGTCCTTGTGCTGACTGCCAGACTGACCTCTAAGAAACGCAGCTCCTTCTACAATTTAATTCTGCCAGTTTTCCTTTAAATATTGCAGCAGATGCAGTCAACAATGCAGCCGGCTATGGGTTCAATGGTGTTGATGAGAGAGGCAATTTTCGTTGGGATCTGTTGTCCAACTTAAATATCTGGAATATTGAGGTGAGTTAACAGAAATTAAACCTTGATATAATTATGAAGAGAAAACTCAGCAATGAAGGAAAACTGCCTGTTAAAGCGCTGTCCCTATAACGTAGAGTGTTTTTGCATTTTATCTTGTAAACAGAAAAAATGCATTCATCATGTACATAAAGGTTGCAAATAGTTTATAAAGAGTTAATAAATTATTAATGGTTGTTTAATAAATGATGAATCCATTACTGTAATTGTGGTTGAGTACAGTGGGTCATGGATGGTCTTCAGTGGTGGCCACCTATAGCAGAGGTTTTCAACTTTTTCTGGTGGTGTACCCCTGGTGGCCAGTCAAGAAGCGGGGAGTCCTGGTCGACGAGCAGGGGGTGGGCCGCAGCAGCCAGTCAACAAGTGAACCTGGAAGTGCCAGCGGCGAAACCGGAAGTGCCGGTGGCTTCTCTGTGCTGTTGCCACATACCCCCTGGGGCCTTCCAAAGTACCCCCGGTTGACAACCCCTGACCTGTAGCATCTTCTAATTAAGTTCTTTTCACAGTTTCCTGTTTGTGTAGAAGTCCCTTGAGGCCCGAGTTGAGATTCGGGTCTCTGCCTAAAAGAATGGTTATTCTAAACAGGTTAAAAATGGATGGACCAGGTTAGCAGAAATGTAGAAAAGTGACCTATCCAAGATCGTACAGTAGGTCAGTGACAAGGTCAAAAATAGGATTAAGAGTGACTCCTAGTCTGGTAGTTTCTGTACCAAACTGTTGTTTCTCAGATGTTTATAATACATACTCCTCATGCCTATAACATACTTTCACCATCAACCAGCCCTTACAAACTATTTATAATTATACCCTTTATATGAAATATGACCAACATACAGTATTTCCAGTTTGTTTGCCCTGGAATATCTTCTGAGTGTCAGTGGCATGTGAAAGTAACAAGGAGTCTGAAATATCTCCTTCCAAAGATTTATTTTTGTATAAATACAAGGAACTCTTCCTCATTAATTCACTGCTCATGATTTAAAAAGGGCTATGTAGTAGTTTAGTGAACTGTTAGAGCCAAGCACCTTCTGATAGTGTTCATCTCTGAATGTTGAGACGCCCCTCCCACCCCACATGTCACCAAAGTTTGGGACATCACTATATATCTCTATTTTATCAATCTATTTCTGTACTTGTCTAAACCATTTTCCTAGCTTTGCATCTTTCTCTCTCTCCTGGAGTGTTTTGTTTTTCTTTTCTCCTTTCTTGAGGCACAGACATGCTTTCCATTTGTAGCCAACTTCAGATTGAATCAGCCTTAATTGCAACAGCCCAGGACCTTATCAGGGATTTCTTAAAATAGCTTGAAAGAAGAATCGCAGTGCTCACTGCATCAGTCAGAGAGGAAGGAACACTGCTTGTCCAGGCTAGGGAGAGGAACGAAGCTCTGTTCCTCATTTTTCCTTGTTCCTCATTCCACCCTTGCTTTAGGCCTCTTTTGGAAGGACTTTTAGAAGCTATGTGTTAAACAGTAGTGGTCCCTTTCAGATGTAAAGGCAGCATGGGAGTTTCTCTGTTTGAGCAGAGTGCTACCTGTGACTGCTTCTGTCACCATTAGTTCCTGGCCAGGTGAAGCTATACTCAGTGTAGGTGGAAACCTGTTCATAAAGAAGTGTTTTGAGGGAAGTTGGGGGTGATGGAAGGCCAAGGAAGTGTGGATGACTTAAGTAAAAACCTGCCAGGAAGTATTTCATTTGGATAGCTCACTTGGTCATTCTTCTGGAAGACTGGTGAAGGAGGGGGCCTATCAGTGCTTGCCAAATGAAAAAGGACACTACTGATAGGGAAAGGGCCTGAGTTCCCTGGCTCCTACCTGATGCTGTAGTGAAGGTGTTTGCCAGTTAGGGTTCATAGCTGTGAAGACACTTAGGATGATTGCACCGACTTCTAGTCTTCTATAGAGATGCAAAAACATGGATAGTCTGTTTGGGCTCCTTTATCCTTTCTTATTACAATGTGGTCTTTCTTCAAGTCTCTCTAAAAACTCTGTGAGCTTCAAAAGAGCCTGTTATATATACCTGTTGCATTAGCGGCCCAATCCTGAGGGGGACTTTTGATCTACAGTACAGAGAGCAACAGTCTCATGTGCTTTACATATTCAGCCAGAAAGTCTTTAGAGATCTCTTGCAGTGCCACAGAGTTCAGATTAAGAATCTCTGACTGCGAGCACTTCAGAGTTTCTGTCCGATTATTTCAAAGGGTGACTCTCACTCATTTTAATTTGGGCCGTACTTCACAGAGGCACTCAAGCAACAAGGAGTAAAGAGGCTTCTTTGTTAATGAAATACAGCAAACAAAGCCTTTTGAGATTTGTTCAGGTTTAGCATTAGGTTATCAACTCAAAGCAGATAAAAATTAGACTGAGAACGTTGTCTACATTTTCCTACCTTTGGTGCCAGGAAAATGAGCTGCAATTCAGTTGGACAGTTTTGGGAGTGAGTTTCCCTCCCAGGATATGGTTCTCATTACACAAAATCACGAGGTGACTACAATAAATAAATAAACCTTGAATTGGGACTAAACTGACAAATCAGAATTTCCTCCTGAAATCAGTGATTTTTTCCTAAGGCTTAGCAACAGGTATGATGTGTTAGATTACTCACTGTTTAGAAATCTCTAAAAATCAGAACTAAATGACTTTTGTGACTTCTAAACACAAAAGGTGCATTACAGCTGGCCTTTTCAGTCTGAATTCTGAATATCCTTGTTTTTGCTACTTCTTTTTTTACCTTAATATCTTTGTCTTAAGTCCATTCCAACACAGTATCTTGCTGTTTTAAATTGCAATGTTGGCTATTTAGCTGCTTAAGGACATGTTGATTGTGTGTATTAGTGATCCATTAGACTGGGGGTTCACTAAGTCATTCCAGCAGTTAGCTGGAATGACTTAGCTTGATCCAAGGTGGGCTGGGGCTGGAACCTGCTTGATGCAACCACTGTTTCTCTCCACTGCTACTTCTTCCTTTTGCCAGCCATGGTAAAGCATGGGCAAAGCTACTGGCCACAGCATAGCACTTGTGAAGCCCCCAACTTCCAAATGCTGCTGAAGCTCCCATTCCTGCGGGCCAGATCCAGTGGCTCTGTGGGCTGGATCCAATGTCACCATGGGCTTCCTTTATCATACTTGAAACTATATTTTTGTGATGATTTAGGGATTATACTGGTGAGTACAATGGGGAAAATGTTTCTAATTGTGTTAATTGTAGTTGCTGTTTCTGCACAGTGCAGTAAATGATCCAGGCAAGAAAACTGGATCACATCAGTGGGGCACTTCTACCACATCAATGGGGCACTTGAGTTTGAAGAGCTGTCCAGCTGTTGCTGATCCTCTGCAAGGCATGGATCAGAACTGCTAAGCTTCTTGGCAGGACAAAAGGGGCCAGGCACAAGCAGAGGTGGGACAGATTTGTGAGGAAAGATCTTCTGTTGGATGGAACCCTGCAGACCTCCAGGCACAGGAAAGCTACATGTAGAGCGAACCAGGACTATTGAATTAATGACTTATGGTAGTCTTGGCAGAGTGTTTAAGTGTTCCTCAGTAAACTTGGCCCTGGCCCTGAATCCAAGGACTAAAAATACTTTTCAGTGTTTCTTAGGAACCACTTCTGATGAAATAATAAGGCATTCCTTATAGTCTTCCAAGTACGTTCTGTTTTCATACCACAATAGGGATGTTCAGCCCACCTAAGAGACAGTGAGAGATCTGTTCTTAGAATTAAGTTGTTTGTGAGCTACAGGAAAGGACTCGAGGGAAGTGAACATCTGGATCCAAAAACCTTTTTGGCTTTTCCCATACTTTGAAATATAACCAAACCTTTTTTTACTTGGTTCTAATATAACATAATAATGAGTGAGATTTTGAAGTGAGTAGCAGTTGTCAGCCATGAGTGATTTGTAGGTTGGCCCTACAAAACCTTAGAACATACTAGCATAATATGGAAATGCTGACACAATCTTAATTACAGCTAGCTTCTACTACTAGCATATTGCATATGAACCTCTGTGTAAAATTCAGGTAGAGACTAGCATAATTCCACATGTTCAGAAATCAATGTTAGATGTTACCTTTCTTTTCTCCTAGACTGCAACAAGTTTTAAGGTGTACCTTGAGAACTGGAACATTCAGACAGCTGCCTGGCTGAAGCGGTGAGAATAATAAAACTGTTAACTTGTAAGACCCAGATACTTCTGAATGGTCAGTAGTGAACAGTTATGACCACTGGCCGGTGAATCTGATAAATGTATCACCTCATGGCCTCTCATCTCTCTGTGTGCATGTGTGTTATGTGAGAGCGCTACAGTGTTTCTGGTGCTATATTTTTTTTTTTATTGCTAATGCATGTGAAATAGCCATATTTGTTCATAAAAAGCAAAAACTTAGGAAGCCTTCCTAATTGGGAAGCAATAACATTTTAATAGCACTTCCACAATTGGGTAGTTTATTTTTATTATCCATCTGTATTATTTGCTACATATTTTGCCTCTTACTTGCATTGGAAATAGATTAAATGCTCTTGGAGACATGGTGAATTACATTACTTACATCTGAATGCCTTCTCCTTTTGGAGCTTTTGAAAGCTTGGATCCAGATTCAAACTTAATAGCTTCAGCCTACTTTCTTTTTGGACACCAGTCTCCTAGGGATGTAGATGCTAATTTGAAAATGTATAGTAATCCCATTTGGAACATGGTATGTAAACTCCCTCAAATGTTGGGGTATCTGGTTTCAGATCAACTCAACTATGGCTCTGTATAAACAAAAACAATTCAAATGGTGTAGCTCAATCCTGTCTTTAGTTACTGTGCAAGCAATGCCTTTGGTATGAGTAAAGTCTACTGTGAATTCAGTTGACACAGGAGTTCATAAGGTGGTCATCAGAACTGCATTCACTATAAATATTTATACTTTTAAAATTAAATTTTTTACAGTTCTTTGTGAGAGAAGTAAATATAACACTTTTTAGTTCAGTAAGCCGTCTTGAGCCATTTTTGGACTACTAGGTTTAAAGTTAACACTGAGATAATGAAAGAGTTTTTGGGTCCTATTGGTATGTTTCTAAACTATGCTCGCAAGTGTCTTCTGAGCCACATCCTTAGCTGCTGCAAATCAGCATAGACCCATTGGTTTACACAAGCTAAGGCTCCCCTTTGTCTCTAAGGATTGCTGCCTAAGGAATATTTAAATTGTACAGTAAGTTACTGTTACTTTCATCCACCTACCCTTGCTTGAATATTCTGCATGTTTCTCAATAGCCATGATGAATTCCATGCATCTGACACAGTAAAAGGTGAATGAGAACCTATTCAGAGCTAGAAACTTGCGGATGAGAGCGTGCCTCACTGTCACAAGTAACCTTATTGACATTTGTTTAAATGGAGTTTTGCAAGACCAAGAAGCCTTTCATATAAGTGAACTCTGTGTGATTTTTAAGTTACAAAGAGATCTGAGTTGCAGTGTATAGGTATTGTTTATTCAATCTGTTATTTTCTGTTTGTTTCTTTCCAGTGTTTGCTATGACAGGGCTCCATTTCACCCTACAGCTTTAACTTTTATCCTGTCAGCCCTGTGGCATGGCATCTACCCTGGATATTATTTTACATTCCTCACTGGAATCCTTATTACATTAGCAGCCAGAGCAGTACGTACCTTCCATTATTCTCTTGGCTTAGATTACTATCAGGCTCTCAGTTTGGGGTGCTTTGACATACTCAGCCACATTCATCTTTCATGTGACACCAGTGACTTGACACTAATATCTCTGAGATGATTCTTCACTGAAATGTTAATCTGCATTGACATTAGGCACGCCCCCCATCATTATAATTGGTGTTATTTTTATTGACGCAACATGGTAGACACTGTGATACTGGCTGACTCCCTTCACAGAAGAAGATGGAGGGCCATGGACATCGGTTTGTCATAAGCTGATGGCTAACACTGATGGACATAGTTCAGGGGCCTCATTCCTTGTCAGATATAAAGGTCTTGCAACTCATCTGTATGTGCTGAGAACTTTATGTAAAATATGGTTCTTGTAAATTGGACTGAGCTGGTACTTGAATGCAGGTTATACAGGCATTTCTTTTGCAGGTGTTCCCTTGTTCTCATACAGTGTTAGCTTCTGCCAATAATAGTTACAGAGAGCGCCTTCTGAATGGATTGCCAACAGTGCCACCTGCATCTGCTAACAAACAGCATTAAGCAATATATCTAAGATGTGAAGAGTTCATTGCAATAGGGTGTTAACTTTAGGGCCAAATAATGATTAAATTTTTCAGTATTATTAATTCCCATCCAGGCATGGCTGGATGTTTTTCTGTTTGGATGGCCAGTAATGGGACACTTAAGTTTTTGCTCTTATTAACTATATCACTAGTTGTCCTGCTAACAGAAACTTCCATGTGTGCAGGAACTGGAAAGGATCACCACATTCCTGCATTCTCAGTTTGACAGATTAACAAAGCTGGCAATCCATATTTGCTACTAAGGCCACAATAGTGTACACTAATATATCACAGTAATCATTTCCATGTAGTTTATCCATTCATGTGTGGCTCCATTCCATAAATAGGGAAAAAACTAATTAACCAAATGTACAGAATTCTGAAAATGCTAAAAAAACACAAGTGGCTACAGGAGAGTAACTCCTAGCTCTGTGATTTTTATACTTTTTAGGGTGATTCATTCACAGAAGCCTCAAATTGCCCGAGATGCCCATTATGGCTACGTCCAGATGATCATGGCCATGTGGTATGTGGCGCTGCAGATATGTCTGTGGTGCCGCACACCACATATTCTGTTGTTCTCCATACTGCAGGGGACCAGCACAGAGGATTTTTTTTTGTACCCCTAGATACCCAGGAGTCAAAAAAAACCTGTGGAGAAAAAAAGCAGAGCTTTATATGCGGTGGCAGTGTGTGCCACCCAAAGCAGGAGCCTGGCTGGCTGGAGTCATGCTCTGCTGCTGGCCAGGCTCTGTGTGGCAGGATTGCCACTGCTGCAACCCCGGGAGGCCCTCAGGACCTTAGGTAGGGCTGCTGGGGCCTGCACAGTGAATTCTATGATCACCCTGTTTTTTGACCTCTCACACACAATGTCACCTTTGCAAAGCTTCTCTTCCCTCTCACCATTAGTCTATACTGTCCAGATTAAATTGTTTGGGGTATGTGTATGTGGCACAATGAAGCCCAGTGCTTGTTTGGGGTACCTAAATGTTATGGCAGCACTATTATTAATTGTGGTATCTGAGGCTTGCAACAAATATAAAATGAGTCTGTGAGTTCAGGTACAAAAATGAAGAATTTTTGTCTTTCTTTCCCCACCCCCTCCTTTGTGACTGTAGATCAGGAACAATTGCAGGCATTATTTCCTGTCTTCAGAGCCACTCAAAGTGATCTATGACATTATCACATGGTTTGTCACTCAACTGGCTGTCTGTTACACTGTTGCACCTTTTGTTTTGCTGGCTGTTGAGCCCACCATTAAGTTTTACAAGTAAGTGCCCTCCTTTTACCTACTCTGCCTTAGACCTATAACCATAGGCTTTGTTATACGAGCCAACCTGTGATGAAAGATGGTTGGAATGTCACCTATACTGGAGGGAATTCAAGGAGGGTATTTAATAACATCAGAGGGATTTGGTGTTATTGTAACTGGGTGAACTTATGGAACCAGGTTAGAATCACTTTCCTTTTCTTTCTTTCAATTTCTCTACCACCCCCCCCCCCTTATTTTACCTGAATATTTCTATGCCAGTTCTGTCCTGTTCAAGGAGTCCAAGTGCTAACTTTTCATGAAAGCAGAGGATGGTGTGGAAAGGACTGGCATGAACACTATGTTGAGAAAGATCAAGGTGAAAAAAATGAGTAACTTCCCATTGAAAAATGAGTAAAACAAAGAATTTTTAAATTGATTAACAGGTGATAGGAGGATGCGTGGCTGATTATAGCATATTAGTTTCTGTTTGTTGCCTTGTACTTTTCTTGTTTATGTGAGGCAAGTTCTCTGATTTTATTAACGATCAGCTACAAGGGCAGTTCTGTAGGTTAGATCTCAGGAAGCAGAAAACAAGTTGAAAAGGGAGACTTGATTTAAAATGAAGAAAATGTACAGCGATTATGGTAAACCTTGTCAAACCTAGAATAACAGATTTTGGCTGAGAAAAGAGACATTCTATTATTTTATCATAGAAAAGTCAAACTGTTAGTCAAAATAGCAGCTGTGAGCAATTCTGTGTTGAGGAGTTTTAAATGTTGCGTTTTTCATTTTTATTGAAGTGTTCAAGCCTCCTTCATGCTTAAACCAAACTACTAAAAAATAAAAAAAAAATCCTAATTCTTCTGGCGTGTTGACAAGATTTGTTTCGGGCTACCATTTTAATGTCTTATTTTCCTGTCTTTCAAGACAAAACATCAACAGGAACGAGAGAGAGAGGACATCTGAACACAAACTATATTAAATGAGATAAATTCATGAACATTTAAGAATTTGCTAAGAGGGCAAAATTTAGTGCATTTTTGTTGTGAAAGGCCATGTTAGGTGCCAAAAATAGTGTTCCAACCTAGATTACATTAATAAATACTTGAAATTGCTTCTGTCTTTACTATGTTAGTTTAATTTTATCAGAGCTCTTAAACCTAGAAAATGTTTTCCAAAACCAGATTAGGTCCTAGATATTTCTTTGGACCTTGGTGACACAGAACATAGGGATAACCTATGAGCTGGGGGGATTTTCAGACAAAATGAGTGAGCTGCATGCAAAGTGTCCATGAACCACTTGGCAGAGGTTTTAGGCACATTTCAAGGATTTTTGAAAGGTCAGGAACATAACAGAAAAAGTCAGGCCATTTCTTTGTTGTGGATACATTAAGTGATTAGGCTGTGGCCCCCAATGCCCCTATACTCAGCTGCCTGGCCCTCGGCACACTATCTACCATTTGCCCATCACAACAAGTGAGTATCTCTCCACCCTGCATAATCAGTTTAGATTAAAACACATTTACTGTATTTATTCAATTCAAAGATGAGGTTTCCCCCCTGTCTAACACAGCAGGGAGCCCCTTGTCTTACAATTGTATTTGAGGGTGGGAGAGGGGTCAGGCAGCTGCTGTGGTTTGGGTTCCAGCCCCTACCAAGGGTCCAGGCCATGGCTGCAGCTTGCCCCTCTGCCATCTCTGTACCCTGTTATCTTCTCCCCATCTCCCCCCATGCAACTTCTGCTCCCTGCTTATCTTCTCCTTCTTTCTCTCACCCTTGCTTTCTGCCGGCAGCATGCATGCTGCAGCCGGGGGCACTGAGCACACCACCAGCCATGAATGGCTGCTACAGACCAGGTCGGGGCCATGCTCATTGCCCCAGGCTCAAATGGGAGTGGATTATGCAAGCACAGAGCAAGGGTAAGGGGGAGTGGAGTGAGGAGCAGAGGCTTGGGGAGAAGCTGGGAGCAGAGGTTGGAGGAGAAGGGATGAGTGGAGGCTGTGTGGGGACAGAGGTGGCAGGGGAACATGCACAAATAGGAAGCAAGCTGCTTGACCTCTCCATACCATCTGCCTCCCCACTGCCTACCGCCTGCTGTGGTGGGAGGGATGAATTAGATTCTATACGTGGAAAATTATAACAAGTTTATAAACTTGTAAACTTTATAAACTATGGGGTCATCTTAAATTTGGGGTTGTCTTAGATTCAAGTAAATTTGGTAATAAACTTTACCTAACGTTGAACTGGGTATCTCCGTGAACATCTCTTTAGTGATCTGATCATTTTTATTGGTGATGAACAAACACCGAGGAAGAAGATCAGTCTTGATTAAATTCAGATAAGCAACCAAATTTGGATGGGAGTTCCGATTTAATTCATTTTGTAGTGTTGTTTTGCAAGTATAAGCATTAGCAAATGTCAGAGAGAAGAATGTGCTGCTTCTCTCTCCCCAAAATATCCCTCCTAGGGATGCACCGATAAAGATTTTTTTGACTGATACTGATGGCCAATTAGTAATTAGCCATATTGGCCAATATTGATCCAATAGCCGATATGCAGCCTGGCAGCTTGGAGGGCAGCATCTGGCTGGTAAGTTGGGGGGATGGGGGCGGGGAAAGGGCGTGGGAGAGGGAAGGGCCGTGGGGAGACAGATCAAGGGCCCCATGGTGAGAGAGAGAGAGTAGGGCAGGGGCAGGTGCTGCCCAACCTGGGCGTGGGTGGCTTGTCTGGGGCGCACAGGGGGGCAGCTCCTACTGCTGTATGCACCCCTAGGGGAGGCATTGGGGGCATGTACTACCTGGATTTGTGCGTGGGGTGAGGGCAGGCTGTCCACTGTGGGCTGGGGCCAGGGGCTGCGCCAGCCCCTTCCTGGCAGGGGCTGGACCAGGGCTACAGCCACCCCAAAATTTGCCATATCCCCCTTGCCCACCATAGCTTCCCCTCCCAGTGCTACCGCCTGTCCTGCCCTGCCCCTACCTGTCCTGAGCGCAGCTCCTGGCCCTGAGCCCGCAGTGGGCTGCCCACCTTCACCCCGTGCAAAAATCTGGGGGGCACATGCCCCCCATACCTCCCTAGGGGTGCGTACAGGTGCGGCGAGCTGCTGCCCCCTCCCCACCATCCCACGCCCCCCCAGATGATCTGCCTGCGGCTGTCTTGCGCCCCATCTTGGCTTGGCTGCACCTTCACCTACCCTAGCCCCACTCCCTCCCTCACCATGGAGGCCTCGATCTGCCCCCCCACACCCCTTCCTCCCCACACACTTGCTGGCAGGAGGTTGCTCTCCAAGCTGTTGGACTGCATTCCTGGCCATGTGACTGCGGCATTTATTGGTGACATTATCAGTTACACCAGCCAAAAAAGCCGATTGCCAGTTATATCAATTTTCCTTTTATTGGTGCCGATACAATATGGACTGATATATTGATGCATCTCTAATCCTTGTGTATTCTTTAACAGTAAGAGTCTAGCTGAAAGGGCCAGGTTTTGTGTTTTCTCAAAGTATAATCATAGGTCATTTGTCTGGGGGGTTACTTTTCTGAATTGTCAATATTTTGGGGTCATGGAATTAAAAAAAGGGTTGTAGGTTTGGTGTCTTCTCTGGAAAAAAAAAGGGGGGGGCAAAACCCTCTCCCTCCTGAAATCACTAGCAAAAATGCCATTGACATTAGTGGATCTACGATGTTTCCCATCATCCTGTTTAAAATCCAAGGACATAAGCTTGTCACGTAGAAGACTAGGTTGGCTGTGCTGCTTTTATTCTTCTTTCAGTATGGCAGAACTGGTTGTAGTGCTGAAGTAATACAGTTTTTAGCATTCATCTTGTTACTGACAAGAATATTATTTTGTCTTTCTAGGTCAATGTACTTTCACATGCACATACTAGGCCTCCTGGTATTGCTGGTCTTACCAGCCAGACGTCAAGACCACCCCATAAAGCGGCTTCAAAATCGGTTCACAGAAAACTCAGTTAAAAACAAGAAAGAAAAGTGATACCTCAAAGGCAAACCACTGATCTTGGGAACGCAGAGTGATGTACCAAAAACAAACAAAACAAAAAACAAAACAACAACAACAAAAAAAAAACAAGGGAAAAAGTGCAAGAAAATAACATTATTATTCTTACTTAATTGAAAACCTTTTTGAGAAGGACAGAGAACACTTTGATAGACTGTGTTCCAGATGACTCTGTAACAAAGATTTACAGGCAAGGTTTATAATCTTGAGGGATATTTGCTTTTTATAAACTATTTTTTATAAAATGTTTTTATATATTTAAACCTTTACATGCAGAAAGGTGGCTGTTGATCTTTTATGGAAATATACATTTATTAAACAATTTTGAAACTGAGAATAATAATAATAATAAATAACTAGCAAGAATTAGATCAGCAGCTCAGTAGACTGGTGCTCAGGGCTGCTGAATCTTTGGTTTTTCTAGGGTATGGCTGCTTACCCTGGCAAGGGCCAGAGCCGTTATGTGGTATAGAGCCATAGAAATTTAGCTGCTGAGTGTGTTGTCATTGATTCCCACCTCAGCA